TTCAGATATTTCCCACTTCATACTCTGCAGGCACAGTCAGTCCAATGTGCACACAGACATGGACATCTAGGCATGGGTCACCGTTAAACTGAAAGCTCTCATATTTTATCTTTAACAAAATGCCCTGGCATGGTTTCCTGATCCATCAGGCAATGCATTTCTGATCAGGAGGGCCACCATCAAGATGTCACCAAATATTGAAAAGACCCTTTGCTCCGCGTATCACTGGGGACTTGTGCAGCATCTCTCTGGACTTTGGCAGCTGTCTCCCGCATCCCGCCACAGATCTGATTCCCAGGCACAGACTTGGTGTTGTGTCACAGTTCGCATTTGGAACCTAATTCTTTCTCTTAGGAGAGGACAAACTGGCCCCACAGTCGTCTATGCATCAGGAGACTTCACAGGCCCTCCATGTGGCTTCTGCTGTGTTATTCAGAGACATGCTCTCCATGGGGAGTGCTCCAGTCTGAAGCACTTCCTACAACAAAATACCCCCACGTCAAGTGCCTTCTCCAACACCACATGCCGAGGGGCTTTATCTCATTTTCAAAAGCAGTCATAAGTGTTCCCACATTTAGATGCTTCAGACCCTTGCAAGAGACAATTTGCCTGCCTTTTCCGATGGACACAGAGAAACTCAAGAAGGATAAATTGCTCACTCACCGACAGTTACTAAGAACATTGCCAAGGAGACAGCCTGGGAACCTTCATTCTAAGTCTACGGCTCTTTTCACTCTAACAAGAACCCTCCTGTCACAGCCTCCTTCCTCTCCTTTACAACTAGAGAGATGCTGCCTCTTGCTCCAAAGACCATCTCCACCAAGGAAGGAGGGACATTTGCAATACTGTGACCTCCAAACCCATGGGTTTCCCATCTCTGATATCACACACGAAGTTCTGGAAGCGCCACATATGTTTAGTGGGAAAAAACATCACCGATACAACTGTCATTGTGAAAGTATGGAGGTCGGGAGTCTCTCATAAGCCTGGCGTTTTGGGTCTCCAGGTCCTATGGAAACTTTACCTGTGGTGAGCTTTCTGACGAGGTGCTGTGCCACCCTACAGCCCTGGGCCAGCTGTTCTCGGAGGTGCCGCCTCTGGGAGTTGGCCGGCTCATCCAGAGTGAGGAGGGCCTGGAGATGCTCTTTCAGTGCGCGGGAGGCATCTCTCCCTTCCTGGAACTTCTCCCTTAACTGGCTCAGCTCTCGTTCCTGAGACTGAACCAGGACTTTATATTGCCTAAGGTGAGATAGTAGAGAAAATTGAACAGTGGAAAGGGGTGAGTGATCAGTTCGAATATTGCAATAGAGATTTTTAAGACAATGTCCTCAAGGAGACCTCCAAGGAGAAGGTCAGCACACATTTAAAGAAATGTCTGCGGCCAAGAGAAAGAAGGAAAAATGGTTTACAGGCTTCCTCTATATCAGAGAGGGCTCCTGTAAGATCCTCAACGATGTTCCATTCATCTTTCCCTTCTCTAAACAAAAGTAGGTGTCTTCCTTATTCAGTTTCAAAAAGACATTCATTCCTTCAGTTCCTCACTCTGGCAATGGACATTTCCATGTGAAAATACAAATAGTCTATCTTGCAGTGACTACATACAAAACCATATACAGAAATGTGGCCAAGTGCAGACGC